TGGTCGTATGTATTCAGATGTGGGGGTTACACTTAAGGGAACTCCCCCCATTCTCGATTTTAATTTTTCAAGATTTTCAAAGGGCTGGTAAATCAATACCAATGCTTGTTAAGGTATGTAACTTTGCATATATATATTTGAAGATGTAAAAGAGAAGAAAAATAATTTACAAAAAAATTTTGTTATTGTTTTGTTGTGGTTTTTTGTAATTATAGAAAAGTCCTTATTTTTGATGGCGGGCATGATAACTCCTCACTGGAACATCGGAATCCGAAAATTCCAACGGTGTTAGAAAGAATACATGTCTGGCTCTCGTATGAACTAGGATTATTGACTTTGCTCTAATATTCACAAAATGAAGGACCTTTAAAAAAGATTTTAGGAAAATAGCCGATTTTTGACCAAAAACCAAGTTAAAAAATAAGGAAGTTGTTCACCGATTGGCTTTATCCTAGTTCATACGATAGCTATACACTCACAGAGAAACGTGTAAAAATTTGGAATCGATTGGGTTATTAGTTTTTGAATTAGTGTAGATTCGAGTTAAATAAAAAAAAAAAATACCCCGAGAATGGGGGGTCCCCTTAAATATTTACAGGTGCTTACCATTACCACAGTATTGGGCGGAAATATAGCGCGAATTGCTTTGAAATTTTCCAAGAGATTCCAGTTGTGGTCAAGGACAACGTCTTTCATTTTCTGTGATGATCAGATAATAATTTTGGGATGAAGGGACCGAAAACTTTATTTTTAAACTAAAAGCCGAACATTAGAACACCACTGACGGAAAGGAAATCTGGACAAGTAATTAGAATGGCTGTATGGAAGATGTGCTTTTGACCTCTAATCGGGCAAGACTATTCTGCTCCATTCACTGGTTTAATTAATATTAATTCAAAGGAACATCTTTTTACAAGAGAATTTTTTAAGCATAGTTTTTTACGGGCCATAAATTGGCGTGGATTTTTTTCAAGGGTCACCAGCAGGCATGTTTTTTAAGGAATATTGTTTCAAGGTCTTCAAACACCAGGACTTTTTAAAAAAAATATTTTAATGACCAGTTTTTAAAGATTATCATTTAAGGGTCAATTATTGAAACAATATTCGTTTTAAGAAAAAATTGTCGTAATTTTAAGTAACAATAATCAGATTTTATTTAAAACATAGAATCACGATTTAATGATGAACAACATGGGTAACGGGGGCAGTGTGGACAACAGGAACAGAGTGGACAACTGGAGCGACAACAGCAGCATTTGAGTGAATTTGAACATGAGATTGGTGAGAGACAGCATGGCCAACAACGGGAACAACAGTCTTCACAACGGGAACGGCAGGAACAACAGTCTTGACAACAGGAGCAACAGCAACAGTTTTAACTACAGGGACAACTGGCTCCACAGTTTTCACAACGGAAACAGCTGGGGCGGCATGGACGGTGGTCTTAACTACTGGTGTAACAACAGGAGCTACAACAGCCTTATTATGGACACGAGTGAAACTTTGATGCGATGTGGCTGAGGGAACACTGTGCACGACGGCGCCAACCTTAGCCAACACAGGTTCTTGGACAACGGTATGATGTTCGGTCACCAAACCAGGAGCAGCCAAAGCTACGGATACACAAGCAAACAAGGCAACCTGGAGGGATACAATTTATATTTTTATAAATTTTAAGAAAACTTTTTTTTTAGAAAATTTAACCTAAAACAAAGACTTACAAATTTGAACATGTTGAGTAGGAGTTTTTGATTGTTATGTTAAATTTGTAAAAGCTGAAATTGAACTGATAATTACCGCATTAAGTACAGAATAATTTATACCCATTTGCGCTTAGCATAACACGTTAACCTTAAATTTCTAACCTATCTTGTAAGTGATGTTGTTATATATAATTATTTCTTTCAAATTATTTTCCAATGAGTAGACATTTTTAGAATTGAAAAAGTCTAAAATGATGTTTGTTGTTATAAAAAACCAGAATTCGAGACACAACAACAACACACACATACACACCAATACAATAAGCTACATTTGACTGATAGCTGCAATGCTGAAATAAGCATAGCTTGTTTAACAAGACTCTATCATCGAAGTTCAAGTTCATTGATTATTTCTATGCAAGGGACAGCAACGAGTATAAAATCTACGAATCAATCAAAGGAAGTTAACAGTTTCGTTTGAGTTTTCAACAAAGACCTAACATAACAAACTTTAAAAAAAATGTTCAAATTTGTAAGTCATATCCTTGCTAAATTGGCCAATGGACCCGTATTGAATTAAAAATAATTTTTCACAGGTTGCCTTCTTCGCTTGCATCTCAGTGGCATTGGCCGCCCCTGGTTTGTTGGCCGAACATCATACCGTTGTCCAAGAACCAGTATTGGCCAAGGTTGGCGCTGTCGTGCACAGTGTTCCCTCGGCCACATCGCATCAAAGTTTCACTCGTGTCCACAATAAGGCTGTTGTAGCTCCCGTTGTTACACCAGTGGTCAAGACCACCGTCCATGCCGCCCCAGTTGTTTCAGTGGTGAAAACTGTTGAACCTGTTGTCCCTGTAGTAAAAACAGTTGCTGCTGCTCCCATTGTCAAGACTGTCGTCCCTGCCGTTCCCGTTGTGAAGACTGTTGTTCCCGTTGTTGGCCATGCTGTCTCTCATCAATCGCATGTCCAAATCCATTCAAATGCTGCTGTTGTCGCTCCCGTTGTTCACTCTGTCCCTGTTGTCCACACTGCCCCCGTTACCCATGTTGTCCATCATTAAATGTTGATTTGTTTTACTTTTCTGTGATTGAATTTTATGTTCTAAATAAAAGAAGACCAGTTTAATTTGTTAAAATTTCTATTGCTATTATTTTTTGAATTTATGTACGGTATGGAAAGAATTTTTTGATTTGAAAATTTATCCCATTCTGCTCTTGTTGTCCTGCTATCAATTTTCTATGCTGTAGACTTTAAAAATATTACTTTAAAATATGCTCGATTGCGATGGAATTTGAAAAAATCTTTTAAATATCCAGGCATATGATCCCTGGTCCCTTTAAAAATTGTATTCAAAATTAAACTCCTATTTATGGTCCTTGAAAAGAATGTTATAAAATCGACCTCTATTAATGGCTCTATAAAAATATAATTCCAAAATACACACATATTGATAGCCCCCGTGAAAAAAATTCTATATAAATCCACGCCTATTGATGGCACTTGAAAAATTATTTATTAAAAATCCACGCATATTGATGGCCCTTTAAAACATATTTTTTAAAAACATACTTTCAATGACCCTTAAAATTTATGATCCCATGAAAAAAGATTTTATAAAACTGTATGCCTAACGATAGCCCATGAAAAATGATTCTTGAAAAATCCATTCCTATAGATGGACCTTGAGAAAAAATTCTTTAACAAATCAACTCCTATTGAAGACCCTTAAAAATGTTCCTTTAACCCTTTATGGCCCAATGTATTTATGGAATTTATATATCAAGACCTGATCACATTTTTGGTAAAGTTATGAGCTCTTTAATATAGAGAAGAGCGCAAAAATGTGTACAGTACTAATTTATTTATACAGTACATATGGTCGCTTCGTATTCGAATTGTACGAATTCTGACATCGGAATTATTTTTGACTCTTGTAAAAAAGAATATAGAGAATAATTTAAAATAATATTTCCATCGATTTTGCATTTGGTTTTCTTGATATTGGACTTTTATTTTTCAGAAAGAAGACACTGTATCTTACAAATGCGAGGATGTAGCGATGTCAAATTTTGTTCATATCCTAAAATTTCATGCCAACTGATAGCCCTTTAAGGTATATTCTTCAGAAAGCTTGCCTATTGATTGTCCTTTGATATATATTTCTTTTAAAAATCCACGTTTACTGATCACCATTGAAAAAAATTTAAATCCAAGCCTGCAATAATAAGAATGTATTGCAAATTTCACGCCTGAGACTGCCCTGAAAAATATTCTTCGCAAAACCCAAGTCTGACACTTTATTTTTTTTTTAAACTCACGTCTAAGAATGGACATGAAAAATGTCTATTCAAAAAAAAAAAAAAAAAAAAAAACAAAAAAGCACCTCTGATAATGGACTTGAAAAAGGGGTTTTTCGTCCGATTTAAGGTAAATGGTGCCCCAAAGTCCCTAAATATTTTTCGATTTGCACGAAATTTAGCAGAGCTTATTGAATGAAGTTTGAAATTATGTGAGTCAAGTTTCGTGAAAATCGGTTCAGACATAGATATAGTTCCCAAATATATTTATGTCCGATTTTATGTAAATGGTGCACCAAAGTAACATATATGCTTCGATTTGGACAAAATTTGGCATAGCGTACTGAATTGAGTCTATGATGTTTGCTAAGTTTCGTGAAAATAGGTTTAGATTTAGATATAGCTCCCATATATATTTTCTTATATATATTTCGTTAAATTCCATGTCAGTGTTATTTCGAAAAGGCGACGTCTGTTAAGAGACTATATAGAATATATCCAAAGTGGTGAAGGGTATCATATAGTCGGCTTAGTCCGACTTTACTAGTTTCCTTTCTGGTTTTTTAAAAACCCACCCTTGAAACTGCCCCTGATCACATAGTCTATAATAAACCCACGCCCGAGACTGTCCATAACAAATATTCTACAAAAACGATGCTGGCGCCTGTCCCTGAAACATATTCTTTAAACAATCCACGTTTTAAATTTGTCCTTCAAAATATTCTATAAAATTATATCCCTTGAAGAAATATTATATACAAAATGTACGGATGTATAGTTCGATGAATCATTTTTTAAAAACATATTCAAATGATGATCCTTGAAAACCTGTTCTCTTAGAAATCCAATCCTTAAATCTTAAAAAAAATGTTATATATTTTTTCACAAAATTGCCGTCCCTTAAAAAGTGTTCTTTGAAAAATTCACGCCTATTTTCATTAAAAAATCCACGCTGGAGAAGGTCCTTCAATAAATATTCATATAAAAAATCCAAACCTGTGTTAGGTCCATGAAAAATATTCTTAAAAATTTCCAAGATTTTTGCCACTTTTAAAAGTGTTCTATTAAAAATTCTACTCTATCTGGCCCTTTAAAAATCACTATCGCTGGCCCTTTAAAGAAAATAGGCTTAACAAATTCTCGATAATTTTTCAAAAATATTTGTTTTTTATTTTAATTATGTATATATTTTTTTCTAATATTTGAGATAAAAAAATGTTCTCAAAAAAAAAAAAAAAAAATCAAAATCAGATTAAATAGCAAAAATCGTGTTCAATGACTTTTCAATAATTTCTGGTTTTGTCTATTTCCGTTTTTCTTTCTTTCTGAGTTTCTTTATGTATCATTCGTTCTGGCTACTGTATTTTTATAAAAAAAACAAGATAATTGAAAAGAAGCCAGAAATAATCTCTCGAAGTTCAAGATCAGCGTAGGTGGTTGTACATTGCCTTTCAATTACACCAACAACAACAAAGCATGTGCCAACAAAATTGTCAAATTTCGTCAACCAAATAAGGGTATAAAATCATTGGCATAATGAGCAGAAGTTATCAGTTTCATTTGAGACCATTTCAACAACACAACAAACTTTTTTCAAAATGTTCAAATTCGTAAGTAAAAAAAAATAATTATTTTGAAAATTTTAAATACGCAATTATATTATTTATCTTGAAACCTAGGTTACATTCTTCGCTTGTGTAGCCGTGGCTTTGGCCGCTCCTGGTTTGGTTACCGAACATCATACCGTTGTCCAGGAACCCGTCTTGGCTAAGGTTGGATCTGTTGTCCACAGTGCTCCTTCGGCTGTGTCTCATCAAAGTTTCACTCGTGTCCACAACAAGGCTGTTGTGACACCTGTTGTCACTCCCGTGGTCAAGACCACTGTTCATGCCGCCCCAGCTGTTTCGGTTGTCAAGACCGTTGAACCTGTTGTCCCAGTGGTGAAGACTGTTGAGCCTGTTGTACCCGTTGTCAAGACTGTTGCTGCCGCTCCTGTTGTCCACACTTATCATGCTGCTCCCGTTGTCAGCCATGCTGTATCCCATCAATCTCATGTCCAAATTCACTCCAATGCCGCCATCGTTGCTCCAGTTGTTCACTCTGTTCCCTTGGTTCATGCTGCCCCCGTCACCCATGTTGTCCATCATTAAGTGTTGAATTATTTTTGAATAATTTTGAGCGTTTTAATAAAAGTTTTTGATTTAAAAAAAAAAAAAAAAAATGTGGATAAGTTAAATTTTTTTTAGACAATATTTTTAAATATTTTATATAAATTTGTAAACAAGATACAGGCCACAGTTATGGGCCAATTTTGCATGTTGGATGGGTTCTGGCCAATTAAGACCCCTATTGTTTTTGGTAAAGATCGGTTAATATTTAGGGGATGAACTTTATTTTTGTTTGACTTTCTGGTCGCTCTAGAGGCCGCAATTATGGAGGGGATCGGGCCAAGGAATAAGCATGCCTGTTTTGATAAAGATCGGTGAATATTTAGCGGGTCAATGAGAATCCCTAATATCGAATAAGAACCGATTCTGTTGAAAGTGGAACCTAAAAATTGGAGTAATAACCAATAAGGAAAGTAGAAAAGACGGGCTGGGCCGACTATATGATACCCTTCACCTCTTTGGGTATATTCTACATATGGGTATTCTCATTTTTTTTAATTCCATTAAAAGCGATTGTTTTGATTTGATCTTCATCAATAAATTGAACCGACTAACATCAATCCATATACATGCTTTTCTGCAGCCTATGCTAAATTTCAATGCGACAAATTTGGGTAAATCGATTTATAGCACACTTGATACACACTGTTCGATAATATCAATCAGACACCCGTTCGAAATATATATGGAAGCTATGTCTGCATCTGCAACCATTACAAAAAAAAAGCGCAATAAATCTAGTCTCAATTGAATACGTTGAGCAAAATTTCGTCTCAATCGGAAGAGTTTGGTGCACCATTTACCTAAAATCGGACGAAAATATATATGTGGCAGATACATATAAATCTGCATTTTCAGGAAAATTAACACACATCATTCTAGACTTAAGTCAGTACGCTATGTCAAATTTCATGCAAATCGAACGGTATATAGGGACTTTGGCACACCATTTACCTTAAATCGGAAAAAAATATATATGGGAGCTATATTTAAATCTGAAACCAATTTTCACGAAATTTAATACACACATCATTTTGGACTTAATTCTGTACGCTATACAAATTTCGTGCAAATTGAAAGAAATGTAGAGGCTTTGGTACATCTTTTACACAAAATCGGACGAGAATATGTATGTGAGCTATATCCAAATCTGAACCGATTTCCACGAAACTTGGCAGACATGACTCCAGACCCAATTCAGAACGCTGTGCCGAATTTCGCGCAAATCGAAAGATATATAGGGTCTTGGGCGAAAATATATATGGGAGCTATATATAAATTTGAACCGATTTTCACGAAACTTCTCACACATCATTGCAGGCTTAATTCAGTACGCTGTGCCAAATTTCGTGCAAATCGACAGATGTATAGGGACTTTGGTGCAACATTTACATTAAATCGGAAGAAGATATATATGGGAGCTATATCTAAATCTGAACCGATTTTCACGAAACTTATAAGACATCATTCTAGACCTAATTCATTACCCTGTGCCAAATTTCGTGCAAATCGAAATATATATAGGGGCTTTAGAGCACCATTTACCTTTAATCGGACGAAAATATATATGAGAGCTATATCTAAATCTGAACCGA